AAAAAAAAAAAAAAAAAAAAAAAAGCCGCTCCCCCAAATTGCCGCACATATAGCTGGCAATATGGGAAAGATCACAAATGTATGCTGTACAACTTATGTTTTATCTGATTAGATTGTCTTATCATACTCTAACTAAAAACAATATATATATTGTGATATAAAAATGGATATACTTTATCTTTATAGTAAATTTTATCATGTCGATAAACATTACTGGTAACTATTATTTGGATAAAATGATAGCTAATTTGGTAGTTTCTGTTTTTTTCCAGACAGGGTTTCTTTGTGTAATAGCCCTGGCTGTCCTGTAACTTGCTGTCAACCAGGCTGGCCTCAAACTCAGAGGGCTGGGATTAAAGGCTTGCACCACCACCGCCCAGCTAACATGATAATTTCATAGTCAGTCTGTGTCTCTCTGTCTCTGTCTTTCTCTCTTATACAAGAGAATGGGTCTCACTATGTTGCTCAGATTGTGGATGAACTCAAGTGATCATGTAACTCAAGTGATCCTCCTACCTCAGCTTCCTGAATACAGGTATGCCACTTTATCCAGGTCTATCAACTTATTTTCTAACAAAATATATTTGCTGTTTTACTTACATTTGACATAATTTTAAGAATTATAATCAGAAAAATTATTTAAAGGATTAAGTTATTTCAGAAACAAGAGAACATTAGCAGTCTCAAGCTCTTTCACAGTGACTTTAAGGACCTGCTTCTTAGAAGGAACAAGGAAGCAGCAAGCTGGTGGCCAAAAGATCATTCATTCAAATATTCAATGCTTGCTATAGAAGAGTCCTTCATTGTATTACATCTGCACTGCTCTTGAAAAGAATCCCAGCACAGCCGTGTAATTAGATACACTAACGGATAACTAGGAGACAAGGAAAAGCTATGCAGAACATATCCTGATGACACCAAGGAAGCCCCAGAGATGTGGAGAAAGCTGAGCTCAAGGATGAGCAGACACTGGGCCAGTTCTTTCAAATGGCTGGAGCACAGAGGAAATAGACATGGTCCATGTCGGTCAACAGTAAACCTAGACACAGACTGACGGAGAGTTTCAGGAAGGGGAAGGACACAGTGTCACAGAAGGGTCTAGATATCAACTCTTCAAGCACAGGAGCAGAGAACGATGGGATGGACGGAAGGAACTGGTGAGGGGGAGCACTAAGAGAGAAGGACACAGAGTCTCAGGAAGAGAAGGCAACCGCAGCAGTGGAGGATTCAGACCGAGCGCACAAAGGGAGAGCGTGTGGAAGGTGGGAAGCAGCCACTGTAGGGTTAGGTTTGGAGAAGCACGGGTTAGATGGGAAGAGACAAAGATGTGTGCTTCCCTCCCACCCCAGGTTGAACTGGTTTACTTGGAAAGCTTTTCCATGGGTTAAAAGAGAGGCCTAAGTGCCCCCCACCAGGTGGTGGGGCCATCTAGGCTACAGCTCAGTGTATTAGTTTAGAGGTGACCGTGTGTCCAGCTCACCTGTTGCGACCCCGCACAGATGCTTCCCAATTCCTACCACAGGCAGTCTTCCTTCTCTGAGCACAGGAACCCTGTCTGAGATAAAAAGAGTGAGAACTACGTTAGTTGCTAATGATACCAAGTATTAATGTATCCTTCCAAAAACATAGATTGTAGAATCTTTGGATTTTAGGAATGAAGGATGTGAAAACAAACAGTTCTCACAGAATCTAATATACATCCTAAGAATGTGTCTATGTTTACCACGTGACATAGAAGAATATTCAGCTAAACAAACAAACAAATTTCCTGTCTCATTATGTAGTGCTGGCTGGCCTGGAATTCACTTTGAAGTCTGGGTGATCTGCCTGCCTCAGCCTCCCAAATGCTGGAAATACAGGAGTGCATACCATACCTGGTTTCAGTTAAGCAGAAGAAAATACAATGATTTATATTAAACAAATGCTTGGTTGCGTCTCAAAACTAGAATAAAATTAGTGGATGGAAGTAATTGTAAATGCTTGCATTATTTTCTTTTTAAACATGAAAGAACTAGGTGTGGTGGCGCACACCTTTAATCCCACCACTCAGGAGGCAGAGGTAGGCGGATCTCTTGTGAGTTTGAGGCCAGCCTGGTCTACAGAGCGAGATCCAGGACAGACACCAAAACCACACAGAGAAACCCTATCTCAAAAAACAAAACAACATAACAATAACAAAAAGAGTGTACCATTATACCTGTCTTACTCAAAATTATACTCAAAATTAATTTTTGAAAGTACAAGGAAGCAATATATAAGGACTTATCAAAAGTTTTAAACTTCCTGCATATCATACTATATTATAGTAGATTATAACAAAATAATTTTTTTTTCTTTTTCAATACAGGGTTTCTCTATGTAACAGCTCTGGCTGTCCAGAAAAGAAACTCACTTTGTAGACCAGGCTGGCTTGAACTCACAAAGATCAGCTTGCCTCTGCCTCCTGAGCACTGGGATTAAAGGTCTATGCCCCTGCCACCACTGCCCTGCCAGCAACAAAACAACTTTTAAGGTTTCAATCCTAACTCCATTTCTGTTATAGTTACAAACACTTGTATTAACAAAACACTAGTGCTGTTTCTTCTTCCTGAAGCACGGGTCTGTGGGAACAGAATTCTAAGCGGCCCCAGAGTCTGAATGTCTGACCTATGACAGAGCAGAGGACAGATCTGTGACTTACTCAGACACAAGTGTTGAATATCGATCTGAAGTCTTTCAAACACTGAGCTCTCCTTTCTATGTTTACCATCTACCTGCATAAACAGAACATTACTGAATCAGCACTCTCAATGTTGAAAAAAAGCTTTATGAAAATGTTTCCATTTGTTTTCAAATTTCAGAGTAAATATACCTAATTTTTACAGTTAAAAAGAATGAACAACTTAAAGGTTTATATTTTGGATGAAAACTCAAAAATAACAACACCCATTTTATAAGGCTAGAAATTTTATCAGTTATTACTATTATATATTATTTCTCTCTGTCTCTCTCTCTCTCTGTCTTTCTCTCTCTCTCTGTGTTTCTGTCTGTCTGTCTCTCTTTCTCTCCTTCTCTTTCCAGACAGGGTTTCTCTGTGTTGCCCTGGCTTTCCTCAAACTCACTCTAGGCCAGGCTGGCCTTGAACTCAGAGATTCACCTGTCTTTTTCTCAGGGCCTTATGAATACTAAGCAAAATATCTCCCACTAAGCTACAGCCCCAAGCTCTCAGAAACATTTGGACAGAAAACTAAACAGACAAGAACTGAACTCATGGTTTTCCTCCTCAAGGATACCCTGTGTCTAACTAAGCCAGAAACCATCCCAGAGTATTGTCTCTGAAAAACAATAATAAATCAGCAAGTCTTATGACTCCGGACATTTTACATCTCTCATTCTTTCTTTTCTCTATAGTCCACAGAATGGCCTTTACTCTCCAGTACATTTCTTACTTGTATTATTGAATAAGAATTTTCATATTCTCAATCTTTCTATTTTCAGTTGAAAACTCTTCTGAAATAGTTTTACAGTGTTGTTAGGACAGCATCTGGAATACATTTTTACATGTGTATGCATGTGCCATCTGTGTGTGAGGAGGGTCAGAGGTGGTGTTGGATCTCCTAGAGCGGGAATTACAGGACGTTGTGAGCAGCCTGATATTGGTGTTGTGAATCAAACTCAGATCTTCTGGAAGTCCAATAAGCATGCTAAACCACTGAGCCATTATCTCTAGCTCTATGGAAAGTTTTAAAATAATTTAAAAATTTTTAAAACTCCTCCATGACGACTCTTGACAACTGAGGTTAGTTCTCTACCTTCCTGCTCCTGCAGCACTGAGTACCGCTCAGTGGTATAACATACTTAGATGTAGAACTAAAATGCTGCATGGGCTGGGCGGTGGTGGCGCACGCCTTTAATCCCAGCACTTGGGAGGCGGAGGCAGGCGGATCTTTGTGAGTTCGAGGCCAGCCTGGGCTACAGAGTGAGATCCAGGAAAGGCACAAAGCTACACAGAGAAACCCTGCCTTGAAAAGAAAAAAAAAGAAAGAAAATGCTGCATGGAAGCCTCTTTGAAGCAAAAAACAAGTCTTCCACTGTATCTCTAACACAAAACGGACAACAGGAGACTTTCCACACCAGCTTTCTTTCCTGGTTCATATCGCCACATTCTACCTCATGCATTGTATTTTCATCATACAGAAATGCTTCCTGTTATTCTGGCCATGTGGTCACACTGTTCCTATTTCCCAGAATGCTTCTCACTCTCTCTCTAGCAAATGCTGATTCATTTTTCAAGACGATCACAAGCACTGCCTTTTCTGCATGCTCATTCTCCCCTGCCTCCCTGTAAGAAAGCCTATCAAGCCTTCCTTTGAACGCATACATACTCTGCAGAACCTCCCTTTTCTTCAACACCTTCCTTAGTACCCACCTATCTCTCTTCTAAACGCAGGTAAGAGCACAGCTGCCTCATCAGTCTCTATCTGCATATACAAAGTGCCTATTGTGGAGTCCAAGAATATGCCTAAGAAGTATATAATGAAGGAAGAGTCTGTCAGCAGTGGCAAATGTAAGGTTAGGACGTGGCTTAATTCCTAGCTGAAGCCTGGTTCTGCTCAGATTTTCTTGTCTCTGCAAACAATTTTAAGAACTCAGATCATGGACTACCAATATTTAAATTCAAAATTTTATCTTTAGTTTAACCAGTACAATTAGAACCAAACAAATAATAGTAAAAATTATAATCAAATATATGAAAAGGAAATTCATTTGAAGAGACAGGTTCCATCATTTTTTTCCTACAGGAGACCATATGTTTGGTTATTCAGCTCCTCCGGCGGCTTCACTTACCTTGAATCTTGTAGTCATTTTCTCTACCAGGATGAAGTGAACGTTTTCAGCATCTTTTAAGGCAATATCAACCCAGTGAGATAACTTCCCCTTTCCTGCTCCAAACTCAACAAAGCATCTTCTTGGACCAAGTAACTTTAATTTTTCAATGTTACCTAAAATAGAAGCCTGCAAACTCCATAGGATTACTTTATAAACTAGAGCAAAGGGATTTGACTCAAATTTGAAAACAGCAAAGTAATCTCTACACAAGGCAGAAAGTTTTCACTGATTTCTGAATGGTTAAGACATGTTTTTTTTCTTTTTGCTTTAAAATAATATCTGTATTCAGGGTTATATCCATGCTGAAAATTTTCCTTTATGTTCACATATAATTTTGAATTTTAAAGTATTTTGGTCATTTAAAAAAACTAAGTAATTATACTCAGAAAAGAAGGTTATTATAGATTTTTTTAATTGGTTTTTTTCAAGACAAGGTTTCTGTGTTAGCTCTGGCTATTCTGGAACTCCCTCTGTAGACCAGGCAGGCCTTGAACTCAGATTTGCCTGTCTCTGTCTCCTGCGTGCTAGGATTAATGGCATGTGCCACCAAAAGCTAGAATGTTAGCTTTTAAAAAATGACTTTTATTTGTTGTGAGCATACACACACGTGCATGCTGTAGAAGTGAGAGGACAGTTTGCAAGAACTGATTCTCTCCCGTCACCGGGTAGGTTCAGAAGACTGAACTCAGGTCATCAGACTTGGCAGCAAGTGCCTTTACCTGGTGAGCCATCTCATCAGCCCAGAATGTTAGCATTAAACATATGAACAAAAGTGGAGTTACTGTGGTCTAAGCTTACCTGCTGTTTCAGGTGCTTGACTGCACAGTCACCATTTTTAGGGTCATTCAGGGCATCATGTAATGCTGGATGGGACATAATGTGATCTTCAAGTGTAGAATTCAAGCCTGGGCCAAAAGAAACATGATAGCTTAAGCAGCCAAACATGAACTATGGGACTCTGAACAACAGAGCAGAAGCTTTCAATTCATACAGCACCTAGTGCTTCTCAAATAATTGAACTTGCAACTTTAGGCAGACTTACCTTCACTTGCTTTTCTCAATTTCTTAATTAAGTTTTCCAACTGCTCTTCAGACAGAGAAGAAAATGGAACCTGTATACAAAAACAAAACTAAATAATGTAGCCAAAACATGCCTTAAGGTTCCATAACAGCGAATGAGTAGAAATGTAACACTGGGCAGGCCCCATTGTTGTGGAGTATTCCTTTACAATGTGTGAAGATGTGTCAGTGTGACTGGTTTAATAAGGAGCTGAATGGCCATTAGCTAGGCAGGAAGAGGTTAGGGGGACTTCTGGGGACACAGAGATCTGGGAAGAAGAAGGGAGGAGCCACCATCCAGATGGAGAGGAAGGAGGATGGGCAAACAGAGATGAGGTAACGAGTGTGTGGAAGAATGCAGATTAAAAATATGGGGGGCTGGAGAGATAGCTCAGAGGACCTGAGGACCTGAGTTCAATTCCCAGCACCCACATGGTGGCTCTTAACCATCTATAATGAGATCTGGTGCCCTCTTCTGTCCCGCAGGCATACATGCAGGCAGACTACTGTATATGTAATAAATTAAAAAAAAAAAAAATAAGGGCTAATTTAAGTTATAAGAACTAGTTAGGAGTAAGCCTAAGCTAAGACTCCTAAGTAAGTCTCTGTGTTGTTTTTAGTGAGCTGGCAGCCCAAAGAAAAATCTGCCAACACCCTATGGCAGTTTAAGATCTTCTTCCTGATAAGTCTTGGTTCCTAGGCTGCTATTGGAACTGCCCAACTGTGAGGGCACCACTCCGTCTCTGCGAATAACTCCCCCATTCCTTCAGAGTCAAGAAAGTCAGGGCTCATAACAGAACCACACTGCAGTTTGCTATGGAACATATGCTGGTCTGGGAACTAAAGTCACTAACAACTGTGATTCTATAGAAAATATACCCTAATGTCAAAACAACAGATCTTTCCAAACGCAAGTGGAGAATGGCCAATGTACAAGGAGATAGCTTCGAAATACGACTTGGAGTTAAGTATTAAATAATATACTTACTAATTGCTCAGGAATGTCCATTTCTTCCTTTAATCCTGCATTTACATCTTGAGTAAAGAAATCCTTGACAAAAACAAAGTCATAACATGTTATTAATATGAAGTTCACAACAATTAAGCTAAGAACTGTTTCTTCTCTCATCCTCCTACACCGTCATCCTTGTCTCTCATTCAGTCCCCGAATGTTACTGCACCAATACCATGGTGAGTGGTGTGCTGGGTACCAGAGGTACAACAGAAGAGACCAATCTCTGCCTTCATGGAGCTTCAAGTGAGGGAGTTGTAATGAAGAAGCATTTACAATCTTTAATTTCAGTAGTTACCTGCTGAGGATTGTGCTAATTTTGCCTTATGGCATTAAAATAAAAACAAGATCTTTTATATATAAATATTTACACTTTTATATTTATATATAAACACACACACACACATATATATACACACACATATATATATATACACATATATATTATATGTATTGTCCATTGAGGATGCAGCCTAACCCCAAACAGACAAAACACAGCTATTCTAATAAGTCTGATTTATTTTAAAATGTCAAACACCAGAAGTAAAAACGTCCTGTGACATTTAAACTAACATAACAAGATCTTATTAGTCCACCTGTAAGTACAGAAATTTTAGGTGAAGATCCAGTCAACCCTGTCTACTAGGACTTGCTGCGATGATGGGAATGTTCTACATCTCCCCTGACTGACATGGCAGCCACTAGCTGTAAAATATGGCTACTGTGGCTGAGAATTACACGTTAAATTTCATTTAGTTTTAGTTATCTCAAATTCCATAGTCACTAGTAGCTAGTGGCTACCCTACTGGATGGTATGCACACAGAGGCATGAAATACTATTATTTCTATAAACCTTGCTTTAAAGCATCTCTTGTGTACACTGTATTCCTAACAGTTACGGACTTTTGTTAAAAAAGATGGCAGAGGCTAGCATCTTGACTGTGTGAAGATATCTTTTTTTTCCGTTTTTTTTTTTTTTTTTTT